TTGAATTGGTTTGGAAGGCTTTATTTAAATTAACTTTGACATTTTCATAAATCTCTGACAGCTTAACACACTCAGTTGCATAGTTATTTCTGTCACCTATTGATAAATTGATTTCCTTGGTATTTTCTACGATACCATAGAATTCACCACTTAATGGTACATATCTACCAAAATTGAGAAAACTCGGCTTATACCCCGTGACTTCGCTTTTACAATTATTTAAAGCATGCTGAATCTCATTAAGGTATTTATCCCAATCTTTGTGTTGTTCTATGACTCTATTAACCCGTTCTACATAATTAACCTGAGCATGGTACCTTGCGGAATACCATATCTTTTGAACCTTATATTTATCAGCCAGCCTTTTAAATTCATTGCCTGCGAATTGAGTGCCATTATCCACGATAATGAATTGAGGAACACCCCAATTAAGAAACACCGATTCCATAAACTTGACAACAGATTTGGCAGTAGCTGCTCTAAGTGGGTGTAACAATGAAAATTTAGTGAACCAATCTGTCACTACCAACAAATATGTGTACCCACTTGGAGATCTAGGTAAAGGACCTAAGAGATCAGCTGCAATAATTTGCCAGGGAAAATCAGCCTTTTTTTCTTTACCCATAAAGCCAGGACGAGCTTCCTGAGATACTTTTTGGGCACCACACACTTTACACTGTCTGATATATTTTAAGATATCTTTACGCATTTTTGGCCAGTAGTAAAATTCTTGGACTTTAGAGAATGTTTTAAAAAACCCAAAATGAGAAGATGTAGGAGGATCATGGCATTGACGCATAATATTTACTCTCTGAGACTTTGGAACAAGTAGTTTCCACTCTGGTATATTGGATTTAAGACATAATTTAGAGGGCACATGTTTATATAAGAAGTTATCAAGAACCTGCCATTGTGGAAACATCTCCGATTTATTAAGAACTTTATCTCGAAGATCTAAATAAAACTTATCTAAATCATTGAGAGAAACATCTAGAATATTTAAAGAAGGAGGAATTCTACTCAAAGCATCTGCAACGACCATATACTTACCCTTACGATGAATAACATCAAAGTCAAATTGTTGTAACTTTAACGACCAACGAGCCAATTTGCCAGTAGGATTTTGAAGATGTTTTAACCACTTAAGAGCTGAATGGTCAGTCACAAGGGTAAAATGCTTACCTTCAACGTACATCCTAAATTTTTCAAGAGAAAATAACATTGCGAGAAGCTCTCTCTGTGTGACTGATAAGTTACGCTCTTGCTTAGTAAGTGATCGACTTGCAAAAGCAATGACCGATTCCTTTCCTTCAATATTTTGCAACAAAACACTACCTAAACCGGTGTCGCTGGCGTCGCATTGAATAATAAATGGTTCATTAAAATTTGGACTTTGCAATAGGGGCCGATACGAGAGCTTGCTTAAGTTTTATAAAAGCTTCTTCAGCTTCTTTGTTCCACATAATGTTTCCCTTTTTTCTAACTCTTCCAGAGAGCAACGAATTAAGAGGAGACACTAGAGAAGAAAAATGAGATATAAAACGTCTATACCAGGAAGTAAGACCAATAAATCGTTTAATTTCAGTGGTGTTAGAGGGTTGTGGATAGTTCACCATGGAAGCAACTTTATTTGGATCTGTTCTAAGACCATGGAGATCGACTATAAATCCTAGATATTTTAAAGATGTTTTAAAGAATTCACATTTATCTAAGTTCACAGTAAGGTTTGCTTGATGTAAAATAGCTTTTACTTCCTTGAGCAGCTGTATATGTTCAGAAAAAGTTGATGAAGTTATAATAATATCATCTAAATATACGAAGATTTTTGGCTCATATTTTGGACCGAATATAGCGTCCATTAGTCGCTGTTGTGTTTGCGCTGAGTTTATGAGACCAAAAGGCACACGAGTAAAATGAAATAGTCCTCTCCCAGGGATAGAAAACGCCGTCTTCTCTTTTGAATCGGGATGAAGAGGGATCTGCCAAAAGGCTTTACGAAGATCTATGGAAGAAATATAACGAGCTTCGCCCAGAAGACTTAGAATACGGTCAACGCGCGGGAGACAATACGCATCCGGTTTAGTGACAGAATTTAGGCGTCGACCGTCGAAACAGAATCTCATTTCACCAGACTTCTTTTTCACTAAGAGAACTGGGGAACTTCAAGAGCTAAATGAAGGTTCACATACCCCTAACTTTAACATGTCATCCACTTCTTTATTCAATAATTCTAACATGTACGGTGACATCGGGTACTGACGTATGCGAAAAGGTTTTGCATCACCAGTATTTATCTCCAACATCATTTTATTAGTAACCCCTAATTTTTCCTTCCCCGAAATGTCCTTAAATGAGTTTATAACCGAATCTGCCTCTCTTCTCTCTAACTCAGATAAATTATCCAAAGAATTTATAAAATTTATTTGACCCAAGTTATTAGAATTTGAAAGAGAAAAAATATAGTTATTTATTTTATTATGTATATGCCAAGTATTATTACTAAAATTAATTTCTACAGAAAACAACTTACAGAAATCACTACCTAAAATTAAAGAATGTTCAACAGAGGGAACAACCAAAACACGAACTACTTTACAAATATTTTCTGAAACTACTGGTAAATAAACACACCCTGACACTAATTGTTTATTACCATCTGCAGTGACAACAAACTTTTCTAAAGATTTATCTAATTTTAACTCAAATTTATTAATTAAATCCAAGCCTTTATTTCCTATAACCGATTGCATTGCACCTGAATCTAAAAGTGCTGTAACTTTAATATTTAAAATATTAACCATAATATAAGGTCGATTATCTAAAAACTTATTTATTAACATAGGTGAAACTTCAGGAGTTTTATAATTAACATAAAAATTTTTAACGGTTTTTAACCACATATCCCAATCGGATTTATCAAAATTGCTTCTTTTATTTGAACTCAAATTACACTGGTCTACAAATTAAAGGAAATACATTGACTGGAAAAAATGAGGATGTTTTCCAACTAATTTAAGTGCGCAGAATTTAAATTTACCGCTAAAATTGTGCTATCAGGTCTAGTTCTTTTTATGCCGCATGGTGGCGCTACTGTAAAGTAATTTGACGAAAACCGACATTTCTTCTCTATCCCTATAATAATAGTGCTTAAGTATGTCAAGTAGATCGTGTGTTACTAATCCAAGCTATTTCTGCTTTGTCTGTGGTGAATATATATTTGAAAAAAACATGTATATTTACATTTCTTTGGTTTTGCTGTCAGAAATTTAGACAAAACTTGGACACCGACACTGTTATGCAATAGTTGCAGAGCTATTTTATACGAGTGGTCGAATGACGAAAAAATATATTTCGATTTTTCAGTTCCAGTAATATGGGCAAAGGCAAAGTAATCACCAATCCGATTGTTATTTTTTTTAAACAAAAGTTGTTGGGTTCAATATGAAAAATCGATGTTTCAAAACTAGTGCAATTGAACGTTAACGTTTAGCAAATGCTCCATTGCCAGTCGTTCCTAGTACTACAAGCAGTGATTCGGAAACCTGGGTGCGGTGAGCGATGAACAAAGAGAACATGTACATCAAGATTTAATGAAAATTGAAAGAAATTATCAAGGATTTTGGGACAAAAGTATGCTGGGAGATTATTGTTGGACTCTAATTCGTGAAACTGTCCCAGAGAAATACAAACGATGTTCAAACACTGCGATCTACTATTGAAATTTCCTTTATTTGTGAATAAATTTACCATCTTGTATTAAAAACATAGAAAAACAATGATATTTTATATTTCGGAAACCTGACCTGATAAGAGAAAAACAGTTACAGATTAAAATTCAGCGCACCAGATTACCTTACAAACTCCATTTGGTTGCTCCAGTCCAAAACCTTGTATACCAGTGTTATTAACTTTATTTTTATAAGGAGACCGAGGTGTAACCTTAAAATTTTTATTTACAAACTTATACTTATATTTGTAAGGGTACACCTCCTTTACTCGTTTTTTTGAGCAAGGGCATGTTCTTGTTGTCTGATCCAACATGCCACACATATAACAAAATTTATTTTTTCGGGGAGCTCTACAATTTTGATAGGTACGATTTATTTGTTGACAATTATAGGGTCAAAATTACCAAGGTGGCAAATTTCAAATTATGTTTTATGATGAATATACCTAGCAGTTATTACTTTGATAATTAGCTTAAATGATCACTAAACTTGTGTTTAAACAATGTTTACGTTGGCAGAGCATAGAATTAATTGCTCCTCTTGTAATTTTATTTTTAAAGTGAAGTATAGCTAAAAACAATCATTCCGGGAACATTTTTGTGAGGTTTATAATAAAATTAAAATATAACTTAGTATTTCTTTTTTACCCTATAAAATAGCGGAAGTATGTAGTTAATAATAAGAAATTAAAAAACTCTAAGAAAATTGCAAATAAAATCATTTAGAAACAAAATATCACTACAAATGAAGCTATAGGACTATTTTTTTTAAATTAAATTATCTAAATATGCCAATATCTCTGACTTACATATAAATAAATTAGCTCTAGGTATAAAGAGTTCGCCTGTTTTATTGTTTCCAGAGCCTTTTTTTAATATCTAAAATTATAATGTGTTATCTGTGATTTTTGTTATGTTCCCGGAAATGATTAGGTGTTCACGGAATGATGGGTGTGTTCTCTGAATGATGATATAGATACACTTTAGGTTTATGAAATCATAAGCAAAATTTTTGGATGTCATACTTATTTATTTATTTGGCATAAGGTTTATTCTTAACAAAAATGTAACTTTAATTACTTCTTTGCAGTCTTTTAATCGATATACTCAGCCAAGTACAATTCTTAATAATCATATTAAACTTTTATATTACTGTTTATAATTAAACCATCCAAACATGTCCCTGTATTTAAATTAAACTTTTAAACAAAAACAAGCCTTCAAAATCATATTTATTAAACACAAAAATATATAATAAAAAAAGAAACAAACATTAGAATTTTTCGTAAACATCAATATCAGTATCAAAGTAATAATACTCTTGATTATTTTCTTTTTTCATTAATGGAGTCGGAATAATACTAATTATTTGCTCAAATGTAATGTAAGATACATCATTTAACTCTAATTTAAATTTTTTGGCACTAGTACGCACCGATCTCAAAAAAGTTACTAGGATTTCTCCATCATCTTTATCGACATCTGTCTGACAAGTGGCAACATATCTGTAATTAACACTTTTATTTTGCGTCGGTACTTTAATTAATATAAATGTTCCAGGGGATATTAAATTAGGGTGTAGGTTTTCCTTGCCTTGATTATAAGATGTACCAGCTTCAACAGTATTTGATTTTCATCCTCATCGGACGATGATGAGTAATAAATGGTTTTATAAATGCTTTGGTTCTTTAATTTCAGCAAATCTTGTACATCAGTTGTATCCATATGCTCGTTTAGTTCAGGAGACTCTCTTGAAAGTATTCCCAAATTTATTGGTTCAGAATTCGGATATAAACTGCCAGATAACGCAGACATTTTCAATTCTTTTTGAAAACGTTCGTGTCTGTATATTTTAATTTTAACTTCTGGTCCTCTTTGCCATTTAATTTTAGTAACATTCATGATACCTGGTATGGCATCTAAAGTTTTCGGAACCAATTTTTTTACGCTAGAAATGTCAGCATCAGGGATCTTTTTTACTAAGATAGTAGACTTCGTAAATAAATTAACAAAGTCTAAAGCTGTTTTAATGTCTTGTCCCATTAATACATGCCTGTCGGCACCACCCACGCCATCCATGGGCCCTTTGGCATGCCCAGGTTCACTGTACGTCCAAGTAGCTTTTGATATCTGTTTGAATTCATTTATTAATGTTTGTAGCCAAAGATGTATATTTGTTCGGTTGCGGTATTGTGATGTTGGACCATCAGAGTAGATATGAAGGATGTTAATATTTGTTTTTTTCAATATTGTTTCTAGAATCGGTTTCATATGAGCCCATATCGCATGGGCTTGATGATCTAAATTTTCACTCACGGTAGCAAAAGATCTAGATTGCAAACCATTATCAACGTTTCGTATATAATATACGCCTGTATGAATAGACAATTGATTTTTTGCGAAATGAGTCGACTGGATTTCATTTGCGTACATAGTTGTGTAATTCTCTGAAAAGTCTATCATTACCTCTTCTTCAGTTAAATTTTCTTTCAACTCTTTTTTCAGTTTGTTGTAAATATAAATGCCATACAGATGTTTTTTCATAACTGGAATATCTTCAATAAAAGCCACTTTTAATTCTTTGACTGTACTTGAAATTGCAACCTTCTTTGTGATCTTAAATGTCTTATTCTCGCCTTTTACAGTTTTTTCCTCAAAAACAGACTTCCATTGAAAATATGTCACAGAATTTGTATTATCTGCAGCTGGCTCAAGCCTTGGATTTTTACATTTATTACACAAACCATTCATGCAGTCATAAAAAGTTATGTCGCAACTATAATCCTCGATATTTTTCTCTATACTTCCATGATTAATCTGTTGTAAATTTTTCAATTTGTTAAGTTTGAATTCGAAATTTTCGTGTCTGACACATAAACAAGATTCTCTGTCTCTTAATTTTGAAGTTACCACCCAAAATGGTTTTGTTCTTAATAATGTCGCATAAGACAAATTTATTCCGGTTTCGCTTACGAATTTTTAAGTCAATGCTTTAACGGAGAATAAAAGGAGGCGTTTTTGTTTTTTAATGCCGTTTTTTTTCACAAAATCTCTCTTGGCTGGGCACATCCTACTGACATCATCTCTTTGGAAGAAATCTATAACTTTTTGACGAACTCCTGGCTTCAAAACAACCTCACGAATTTTGGTATCAGACTTCAAAATCGATGTACTGGTTCTCTCTTTTGGCAAAAAAATCTTAGCCATGTGATGCAATTTGTATTCCCTTAACATATTTCCGCTAACACATTTTTGAAAGACTTCCCTCTCTTTAGAATTTTTTTTCAAAGTACTGGCTTTTTCTTTTAATTGCGTAGTCAATACCTCGTTAAATAAAAGTTTCTTGCGCACTTCAGGAGTTACGTCGACATTTTTTATCAAGGCGTCAACTTTGTTGTTAGGAGTTGTAGGTACCCGAGCTTTCTCCTGTTCTCTTTTTTCTTTTCTTTAAAGTTTCATATTTACGTATAATTTTAGCAATTATTTTCTTCTGTTGTTTTATTTTACGGTATGCTTTGGCTCTATCCTTCCGCACAATTTTTCTTCCCACTGTTTTTCTTACTGAAAGTGTTGCAGCTAAATTATCATCGGAATGTGGCGGAGTATTGTTTACTATACTTGATAATGCTTTCTTCTTTTCTCTGTATTTTTTTGATGCTTCTTTCCAAATTTTTCTCTGCTTTCGCTTTTCTCTTTCAGTCATCTCAGCAATATTTTTAACTTTATTTTCACCTTTTTTTTTCTGATAGTACGCTCTATCCTTAGCCCTTTTAATGTCTCTCTCTTCCTCTGTCATCTTATCTACAAATTTCCTTTTTCTGGCATTAGCTTTTTCTCTTTGCCGCATGTAAGCTGAACTATTTTTTATAAGTTGCCTTTTTGGACATTTTTTATTTTTTTTTAACTTCATGAGATTCCATGTTTGCTAAAAAATATAGCATTTATTTAAAACTATTAAGGACAACATTCACTAAATTAATTGACAAAAAGTAATAACAGTCATTTCAAGAACGCTCCGTCAAGTCCGGGGACGTTCCCGAAATGACCGTTCCCGAAATGACTTTTTTTTTAAATAAACGCGCCCTTTTTAGACAAAAGTCATTTTGACAGCCATGTTTGGCTTGTTTAAGGTATAATATTTAAGGTTACTATTTGATATAAACACTATAAAACGTATTTTTTCAATATTACGAGTTAATAAACGCATTCCCGGTATGATGATCTATTTATGTACGCTCTTTAATTATTGAATCGAATGGTACTTACCACTTATTTTTAATTATTTTGGCGAAAAATTCACTTGACAACCACGTTGTTTACATCTTTGACTACAACTGTGCCATACACATATAACGGCTGCGTTCAAAAAATAATTTTTTTGGACAATCAAAACTGCGTTCACTCAAATGATGCTTACATTGTTGGACATAATATTTTGATTTGATTTTCTTTCAATTCTTTTTTTTTTTAATAATGCTTGTAATTCAAATTCAAATTCAAATTTATTTATTAAATAAATGTTTACATTATATAACATTTTAAAAAGATAAATATAACGATTTATTGATATTAGATAAAATTAAAGGCCAATAAGTAAGAAAAACCGTTAAATTTATTTTATTTTATGAATATTCCACGTGTTAGTTTCTAAAGATTGCTACTTAGGACGCGTTCTCGAAATGATTTTTTGTACTTATTTATTTAAATATTAATGAATATGTTTTACTTTTAAAATATATTATATTAGGTATAGCCTAACGCAAACACAGTTAAGTATTAACAAGTTGATTTGTTAAAGAAAAAACTGAATTTAGGCATTTATTTGCTGGCAAAGCTAATTTTCAACCTTGGTGATTTTGATCCTATAACATTTTATTTCTGAGCCTTTATTTCCTTTTTCTGAAAAATTGTTTGATTTTTTAAAGAAGTTATTTTTATTTTGGTTATTTGATTTATTATTTTGAAATTTACTAGTTTTATTATGATTTAGATTTAGATTATCGGTAGAAGAACTAGAGCCTACATATGCTAAATTAGGTTCTAAAGAAAAATTAAGACTTGGTGCATGGTATTTACTTTTTTGTACATCGGCATTGTCTATCTTTTTACATAAAGATAAAAGTTCGGATATAGAGTTAATGGGAGTTAGTGCCAGCTGTGAAACGTACTGTGGTAACATATTTCTTCTAATATATTTTAATTTGTTTACTTCAGGTGTATTTTGACCTAATCTACTAAACAAAGTATTCATAACTGCTATAAAAATATGAATAGGTTCATTTTTTCCTTGATATCTATCCCTAATACTATCCCATACCTGATCAACGTAGTCAGTGGGGAGAAAATAATTTTTTAGCTCTACGACAAGTTCGTCCCAATTCTTAATATTATGTTTAACGCTGCGCCACCAAAGTAAAGCATTGGATATAAATATATCGGTAGCACAATTGAAAACTTCTTCTTTGGTGACGATACGTGATTCCATAAGTTCGTCTATACGCTCAAGAAAACCTTGTAAATTACTATCCTTTTCGCCAGAAAAAGTGACGTCCCATTTATAAACCGGATGTTTATCTTTTTTATAAATTTGAGGAATTGTTAAGTTTGGACTAATTAATGTTGAATTAGCGATAGAAATAGGAACGTCAATTTTTTCTTCATTTTTAATTTTGGCGTATAATTTGGCTTCTAAAGATAGGCAACTGGCATAAGTTTCTGACTTGAAATTTTCGATAGTTTTGTCAACATCATTGGTAGTTGGAATTCTCAAAACTCGTTTTGTTATGTAATCAATACAGGTTAAGCCTCTTATAAAATTACTATCAGTCTCAGGACCTTCAAATTCTGAAATAATTTCTTTAACTTTATCAAAAGTTTCGTTAATAACCAGTTGTTCACTTTCGAAGTCAAATTTAGGATCAATTAATGTTAATAAAATACCTTTCTTACTTTCTTTATCATATAACCTAGCTAAAATACCTCGTTTTTCATTAATTCGAGAAATAATGTAGACGTATATCACTCAACCTATAAATTTAATCTGTCAAACTATGCTCAGTAAGTTTTTTATTTGATTTTTCTTTTTGGAAAATAGTTCATGCAAACGCGGTCTTGTGATTTTATTAAATTATTTTGCATTCAACATTTTCCAAGAAAAACCAAACAAAAAAGTACTGAGCCTAATTTAACCGATTAAATTCATAGTTCTCGTGATATAATATATTCGTGGGTTGAATATTATATTGTTCTATCAGCAATTTTGGCGGAAAATGAAATTTTTACATGAAAAAGAAGGTTTAACAAATATCTATCTATCTAAATAAGTATCACTGTTAAATATAGCCCAGAAATACTAAAAACGACATTATTATTTTGTTCTATTTGCGAAATTCAAATATAATTAACCATTATAATGTTCTAACAAACCAATCAATTAAATTGCAAGTTTTCGAGTTGTCACTGACAGCCTGTCAGAATAACATATCTGTCATCGGCAGTTTAAGGAATTACGTCGTAGGTTTTTGCACAATCCACACAAGGTCTGTTCTATCTCGTACTAAAAATACAAAAATCACTGCAACACTGCACAGTTTAACGGCGGCCATTTTCGTTGTTTACAATTTTTGTGCTTTGGGTTTGTGCTCTGTTTATACAGATTAATAATCGTTTTAAACGTTGTGTTTCTCATAGTAAGCCTTAAAAGAGTCCTTAAAGTGCTAAGAACAACCATTTTACTCATCTATTGTAAAAAATAAACTTTATTCTATCAGGGCTGTCATAAAACTGTCAAAAGTCAATTTTAAGGTTAAATTATAACCCACAAATTAACCTTCAAATTGTCATTTGACAGCCCTGATAAAATAAGGTATATTTATTATAAAAGAGGAGTAAAATGGTTGTCCTTAGCACTTAAAGGCCTTATTTGAGGCTTACAAGTGCCTCTGTAAGACACAACGTTTAAAACAATTATTAAACAGCACAAACCCAAAGCACAAGAATTTTAAACAACAAAAATGGCCGCCGTTAAACTCTGTGCAATGTTGCAGTGATTTTTAGAATTTTTAGCATGAGATAGAACAGACCTTGTTGTGTGGATTGTGGGTTTTTGGTGGTTTAAGTGATTATTTTATTAAAAAATAAATGATAGTGAGATTCCGTAAGTACAAAAATACAATATTATTATAAAATAGTTATAAAATATCCAAATAAAACTTAATTTATACGTAAAGTGATTTGTGTCCTAAACTCAAACGTAGCTACTAACAGAACATTATTAGCTTATTTCTACGAATTTGTTTGCTTTTGAACTTTTTCCCAAACTATATTTTTTAGTTGTTGTTTAACAAGTTTAGACTAGGGATGCCGATTTTTAATCGATTATCAAAAAAATCGATTAATTTTTTTTAAAACATCGATTTTTTGCATCGATTTTTTGTTGCTCGATTTTTTTGCACATCGATTTTTTCGTTTTAAAATAATCGAAGTTTGATGTTTATTTTTTTAAATTTCACTTTATATTTATATAGGTACACTATCAATCCTCTAAGATTTATATTTTACTATACCACTTCTAAAAAATATAATCTACTACAAAAAAGTACCTATAACCTATAAGTTTTAGGTATATGCTAAATACAAACACAACGTCATCACGCGTTCTTTCAATGCTACATATGTAATCGTAGGCACCCCCATAGAGAAAGTCTATGGGCTACCCTTAATACATATTATGTATTACAGTTGTGTTGTAAATAAAAATATAGTATTTTTTTTTAAATTAAACATCGATTATTTGAAACATCGATTATTTGGGCAGCGATTTATTTTGGAATCGATTTTTGGAGCTTCGATTTAAATCGATTCCAAAAATCGATCTTTTTGAAAAAAATCGGCATCCCTAGTTTAGACGTATTCGAAAATAATCATTTTGTGGATCAAATTGAATACTTTGAAGATAGTGATATTCCTGTGCAGATCCAGATTATGTGGCTTTAGATTTAAATGAAGCAGCTTTGAAATCACATGCAAAATGTGGTAATATAGGTAAATCCTAGTCTACTTTTTTATAATTTTGTATTGGATTTTGTTTTGTTTTTAGACCTGAGGATGGCGATGTATTTTTGCCAATGTTGATATTCGCAATGCACCTGAACTAAAAAAATGTCTCCTGTCTTTTGCAAAAGTTGCTGATCTAACCAAATTATTTAAGTTTATGCCGCCTGTTGATGTAATTTTTAAAAAACTTGTTTTAAACAACTTAATAATGCTGCTGTATTTGCAAATGAGAAAAAAAAGACAAAAATTAGTTGTTGAGTTATCATAAATAATTAGTATTACTTAAGCCTTGTTTTTTTTTGTAAGAGTAATTTTTCACCCTATACTGTTAGAACATTTTGGAACCTTTTGTAAAATTTTAAAAAATAATAAAACAAAAATGTTCTATTAGCAATTCTTTGATTATTATTATTATTATTATTAACATTTTTAGTTAACCAAAATACTAAAATTAAGTGCACTAAGCACTATGCACTATCTTACTCGCGTTAAGTACAAAATATCTTTACAAACTTCAATAATATTAATATTCAAAATTTGAAAACTTGATTTTCAAAAAATTAGTTTTATTCTATTAGAACAATATAATATTCAACCCACGATATGATTAAATTTTAGCCTCCATATTGGATTTTTGTTTACGATTTTATGGTGTTATTTACAAGTTTTAACAAACATTTTTTAAAAAACAATAAAAAATAAGTTATCTAGTTTACGAAATATCAATTATTACTTATTACA